ACACACACACACACACACACACACACCACACACACACACACACACACACACACTCTCTCTCTCTCTCCCCCTCCCCCTCCCCCTCCCCCTCTCTCCCTCTCCTCTCCCTCTCCCTCTCCCTCTCCCTCTCTCTCCCTCTCCCTCCCCCTGTCCCTCTCTTCTCCTCTCCATTCACTCTCTCTCCATTCACTCTCTCTCCATTCACTCTCTCTCCATTCTCTCTCTCTCTCCTCTCTCACTCTCTCTCTCTCTCTCTCTCTCTCTCTCTCTCTCTCTCTCTCTCTCTCTCTCTCTCTCTCTCTCTCTCTCTCTCTCTCTCTCTCTCACACGCTCTCTCTCTCACACACCACGCACTCTCACTCTCTCTCACTCTCTCTCACTCTCTCTCTCTCTCACACACACGCACTCTCACTCTCTCTCTCTCTCTGTCTCTCTCTCTCTCTCTCTCTCTCTCTCTCTCTCTCTCTCTCTCTCTCTCTCTCTCTCTCTCTCTCTCTCTCTCTCTCCCTCTCTCTCTCTCTCTCTCTCTCTCTCTCTCTCACACACACGCACTCTCACTCTCTCTCACTCTCACTCTCTCACTCTCTTCACTCTCACTCTCACTTTCTCTCACTCTCACTCTCACTCTCTCTCTCTCTCTCTCTCTCTCTCTCTCTCTCTCTCTCTCTCTCTCTCTTCTCTCTCTCTCTCCTCCTCTCCTCACTCACCACTCACTCACTCACTCACTCACTCACTCACTCACTCACACACACACACACACACACACACACACACACACACACACACACACACACACACACACACCACACACACACACACACACACACACAACACACACACACACACATACACACAGGTACATAGACGTAATGTTTGTATGCATAACGTGTATATATGATTACACATACCATATACAGTATATTGCTAAACTGTGTGGATGTGGCTGTGTATTTGTATGTGTATACATATATTAGTATGTGTGTACATAAATTTGTATGTGTGTATATGTACATGTAGTGTATTTGTGTGTGTGTATACGTACATTTGTGTGTGTGTATACGTACATTTGTGTGTGTGTATACGTACATTTGTGTGTGTGTATACGTACATCTGTGTGTGTGTATACGTACATCTGTGTGTGTATACATACATATGTGTGTATACGTACATCTGTGTGTGTATACATACATCTGTGTGTGTTTATACATACATCTGTGTGTGTATACGTACATCTGTGTGTGTATACGTACATCTGTGTGTGTACGTACATCTGCGTGTGTACATCTGTGTGTGTATACGTACATTTGTGTTTGTGTATACATACATTTGTGTTTGTGTATACATACATCTGTGTGTTTGTGTGTGTTTATACGTACATTTGTGTGTTTATACGTACATTTGTGTGTGTATACATACATTTGTGTGTATATACGTACATTTGTGTGTGTGTATACGTACATTTGTGTGTATACGTACATTTGTGTGTGTATACGTACATGTGTGTACGTACATTTGTGTGTGTATACGTACATTTGTGTGTGTATACGACATTGTGTGTGTGATACGTACATTTGTGTGTGTGATACGTACATTTGTGTGTGTGTATACGTACATTTTGTGTGTGCATACGTACATTTTGTGTGTTGTATACGACATTCGTATGTGATCCGTACATTTGTGTGTGTATACGTACATTTGTGTGTGTATACGACATTCGTATGGGTGTATACGTACATTTGTATGGGTGTATACATGCATTCATGTGTCTATGGATGTATATATGTGTATGTATATGCGTGTCTGTGTATATGTGTGTGTGTGTGTATACGTGTGAGTGTATTCGTATGTGTATACGTGTGTGTGTGTGTGTATACGTGAGTGTATTCGTATGTGTATACATGTGTGTGTGTGTATACGTGTGAGTATGTATGTGTATACATGTGTGTGTGTGTATATGTGTGAGTGTATTCGTATGTGTATACATGTGTGTGTGTGTGTATACGTGTGAGTGTATTCGTATGTGTATAGGTGTGTGTATTCGTGTGAGTGTATTCGTATGTGTATACGTGTGTGTATACATATATATATATTTATACCCGGGTGTCTAATGTTGGGTCTGTGTGTCTGTGCACGTCTGTCCGTGTGTGCGCGAAAGAATGTAGGCCAAGGGTCCGGCTCCATACGTCCCCGCGCCGAGGTCATCCCAGCGGGTCCTCAGGCAGTGCCAAGCTCCTGGGATCGTCTCGGAGGGGACAGGGAGTGGCACTCAGACCGGCACCTCCTCACGTGGCGACCTACTCTGCGGTACGCTCCTCCTTCTCCCTCATCTTCCTCCTCCTTCTCCTCCTCTCCTCCTTCTTCCTCCTCTCCTCATCTCTCTCTCCCATCTCTTCTTCCTCCTCCTCATCTTCTTCCTCCTCCTCCTCATCCTCCTCTCATCTCCTTCCTCCTCATCTTCTTCCTCCTCCTCCTCATCTTCTCCTCCTCCTTCTCCTTCCTCCTCCTCCTCATCTCCTCCTCCTCCTCCTCATCTCCTCCTCATCTTTCCTCCTCTCTATCTTCCTCCTCCTCCTTCTTCTTCCTCCTCTCCTCATTCCTCCTCCTCTCTCTCTTCCCTCCTCCTCCCTCATCTCTTCCTCCTCCTCCTCATCTTCTTCCTCCTCCTCCTCATCTTCTTCCTCTTCCTCCTCATCTTCTTCCTCTTCCTCCTCCTCCTTCTCCTCCTCCCTCCTCCTCCTCCTCCTCCTCCTCCTCTCCTCCTCCTCCTCCTCCTCCTCCTCCTCCACTTCTCTTTCTCCGCCTTTTCACATTCTCCCTCCGTACTTCTTCCTCTCCCTCTCGTTGTGCGCGTGTGTGTGTGTGTTTGCGCGTTCGTGCGCGTGCGCGTGTACCTACCTGTACCTTTACTCCCATTTCCCTCTCCTTTCAGCCTCTCCCGTTCTCTCTTCTCGCACAAACACTTCCACTCTCATTCTCACTGTTTTCTCCCTCTCCTCGTGTCTCGCTCTCGCTTCTCTCCCCTCGCACACATTCGCCGGTTTTCCCCCTCCTCTCCGCCACCCTGTTCTCTCCGTTCTTAATCTCCTCCACCACCACCACCTTGCTTTCCCCTCTCTTCCTCTCCATACCACCTGCTCTCCTCCCTCCTATACCCCTCTTCCCTCCCTCCCCTATTCCCTCCCTCCTATCCCCTCTTCCCCTCCTCTCCCTCCCTCCTATACCTCTCTCTCCACCCTCCTATACCCTCCCCCCCTATAACCCACTTCCCTCCCTATTCCCCTCCCATACCCCTCTTTCCTCCCTCTTCCCCCAATGCGGCGCGCGTGCATCTGCGCGAGCGAGCACCGCGTGTCTACTCGAGTCCGATGAGTCACATGTCTAGACACCTGCTGGCTGTTCCCTGCACGTCGCCACTTATGGGGAGGGGGTTGCCAGATGTCGCGGAATGACTCTCTGAAATTTATACCGTTGTGGTAGAGTAATAAAAAAACAAAACAAACGTATGGTTGGGTGTGTGTTTGCGCGTGTCGTTTAAGCATGCGGTGCTGGTGTGTTTTATGCATTGGTCTTGGATGATTCGTATCGTAATTGTTTGTTGTGGACTTCGAAAGAACGTTAGATTGTGATAGATATCGATTATTTTTATATTATCATTTCGAAGGGTGATCTATTGGTGATATCTGAACTGCCAATATGTACTTTTGCTTTTGTTACTATCATTGATAATAATAATGATAATGATAATAGTAAAAATAGGAATATCATTAGATTTTTTTTCTACAATTAAAGAAAATCCCCATTATGCCTACCTGCTATTGGAGGTGCAGAGAATAATGCATTTTCATTGAGATAATTATTTTTAAGCTTTAGCGACCATAGAATATATATGATAAAAACAAGGACAACTCCCCATTCTTCCTGTCCAGCCAAGGGAAGCTGCGGAACGTGCCTGTGGACCGACCCTGCAGATTGGGATCACTCTGCGAGACTAGTCGTCTTATTTACTTAAAAAAAGGGAAGGAAAAGAAGGAAAATAAACGTGCTGTTTGTGGCGCCCGAGAGCCTGAATACAAAATATGGTTCTTTTCCATTTTCTTCCGAGGAGGCAGTTTTACGAAAGGTTAAAGTTTGCGAGCATTGAAAAGCACCGAAACCCACTCCACGTGGGGCATTTAACGCCACCTCAACGCTCTCCTGCTGTTAAAAAGCGAGCCTAAATCGTATAATGATGACTAATTAAAAACCCAGAAACTGCAATTAGGCATTATTGAAGGAGTTCCTTGGCAGCGTGACAGTGGTTGAATATACTGCAGTGCGGGTCCCTGTTCGAGTGGCTGGCGAGGACCCTCTCTCCCAAGGGCGGCTCTCAGGGGGACCTTGAATCTCTCTCTCGCTTTTCCTTTTTTTTTTTAGCGCAAGGGAGTTTGGAGTGTCCGTGGGAGTGGCTGTGCTTAAGCGTCTCGCACTTAGAGAAAAGTGGGGGTAGTTTTTTTTTTTTTGCAATGTATATGTGGTCTGGAAGTTAGGTTATTGGTAAATGCGGTAGGTTTTGGGTTGAATGGTGTGGGGGGGGTGTCATTGTTATCATTTTTTAAAAATTTCTTGTTAATGATTGGTGTCGTAGCTGTTATTTTTGTTGTTATTACTCTTACTATTATTGATCTTTTTGTATTTTGCTTTAAAGATAATGATAACAACAATGAAGATGATGATTTTATCCATAACCATATTACTCAATCATTTTAACTTCTACAGCAGTTATGTACTTGACATTTTACCTCAACAATAATTGCATATTTTCGACTATCTGAAATCCACGTCCCCCCCTCGGCAACCCCCGCAAGCTGTCACGTGGATAAGCATGCAATCCGTGTTAATAGCATTGCATATTCAGCGCATAATGGCCATGGTTTCAGAACCCGCAGCTGTACACGGTTCCACGGCTCTTGTGACTGACGTGTGTGTTGTGTTTTCCAGACGCGACGCATGGCACGGGGTTCGCTGCTATTAAGATGACCGCCCTTGGAAGACCGCAGCTCCTGGTGAGTACGTGGGAAGGAGGAGGGAAAGGGAGGAGAGGGGGGAGGAGGAGGGAAGGAGGGGAAGGAGGGAGGAAAGGAGGGAAGGGGGAGGGAGGGGAGGAGGAGGGAAGGGAAGGAAGGAGAGGAGGAGGAAGGGGAGAGGAGGAGGAGGGGGAGGGGAAGGGGAGAAGGAAGGGAAGGAAGGGGAGAAGGGGTAGAATTATAAATATATAAGTGAATAGATCAATGATTTGGTGGATAGGTAGGTAGATATGAATAGATAGATACAGGTAGAATAATAGATTGAATAATAGATAGATAGATAGAATCATAGATAAAATTATAGATAGATAAAAAGGAAGATAAAAAAATAAAAATAAAAAGAAACGGAATATTACAAACTCATTAATATTACCTTAATTTTATTGGGAATTTGGTCACCTGTTGATGATAAGATTGCAAAGTGATAATTTTTCGACAGGATGTGAACCAGGTCGTTGCGTCCGCGTCAGACTCTCTCAACTGGCGACGTGTGTTGCTTTGGGCGAGAGTTGGGCTTCCTGGAGGCGGTGCGCTATTTTGGGGGGGAGAGTTCGTGAGGTTTTAATGGTGTTATTGGAGGTGTTCCGCGTGTGTTTGTTTATTTTTCTCTTTGGTGTTTTATTAGGTTCTTTGCGTAACTTGTGTTGGCATTGGTGTTTGATATCCGATTTTTGAATCTTAGTACATTCCAAAATCTTCTTCTTCTTCTTCTCCTTCTCCTTCTCCTTCTCCTTCTTCTTCTTCTTCTTCTTCTTCTTCTTCTTCTTCTTCTTCTTCTTCTTCTTCTCCTTCTCCTTCTCCTTCTCCTTCTCCTTTCTTCTTCTCCTTCTCTTCTCCTTCCTTCCTTCTTCTCTCTTCTTTCTTCTTCTTTCTTCTCTTCTTCTTCTTCTTCTCTTCTTCTTCTTCTTCTTCTCTTCTTCTTCTTCTTCTTCTTCTTCTTCTTCTTCTTCTCTTCTTCTTTCTTCTTCTTCTTCTTCTTCTTCCTTCTTCCTCCTCGGTCTCCTCCTCCTCCTCCTCCTCCTCCTCCTCCTCGTCTCCTCCTCCTCCTCCTCCTCCTCTCTCCTCTCCTCCTCCTCGTCTCCTCCTCCTCGGTCTCCTCTCCTCGTCCCTCCCCCCCTCCTCCTCCCCCTCCCTCCTCCCCCTCCTCCCCCCTCCTCCTCCTCCCCCTCCTCCTCCCCTCCTCCTCCCCCTCCTCCTCCTCCTCCTCCTCTCCTCCTCCTCCTCCTCCTCCTCCTCCTCCTCCTCCTCCTCTCCTCTCTCCTCCCCTCCTCCTCCCCCCCTCCTCCCCCTCCTCCTCCCCCTCCTTCCTCCTCCCCCCTCCCCCCCTCCTCCCTCCTCCTCCTCCTCCTCCTTCCTCCTCCCCTCCTCCTCCTCCTCCTCCTCCTCTCCTCCTCCTCCTCTCCTCCTCCTCCTCTCCCCTCCGGTCTCCTCCTTTGTTGTTTACATCATATCTCGCAAGCGTTACAGATGAGTAAGTACACATTTACCCCACCAGGACGTACGTCTCTCGCTGCCATTGTTGACATACAGCACGTGAAAGTCAAAGTCAGAGCACACGTGGTGGGGTGCGGTGTGCGGTGGCGGTGGGTGGGAAACGCCTTGGGGTGGAACGGGAGTGGGGGATTGGGAGGAGTGGGAGGAGGGTGGAGGAGAAGGGAGGGTGGGAGGAGAAGGGGGAGGTGGGGGAGAAGGGAGGGGAGAGGTGAGAGGAGGGTGGGAGAGAGGTGGGGAGGGTGGCAAGAGGTGGGGGGGGGAGAAGGGAACGGGGGTAGGGGACTGTGGGGTGGAGGTAGGGGAGAAAGGGACGGGGGTAGGGGAGTGTGGGAGGAGGGTGGGAAGAGGTAGGGGAGAAGGGAACGGGGGGTAGGGACTGTGGGGTGGAGGAGAAAGGGGAAGGTTGGAGGAGGCTGGGAGGAGAAGGGTAGGCTGGGAGGGGGGAGAGGGGAGAGGGGGGACTGTCTGTAATAACTTCCTGTCTGGTTTCCCCCGCCTCCTTGACTACGTAGTAGTAAAAGGGGTTGGGAACATAGCGGTGTAGGCCTTTTCCCCTGCGTAGTGTGTGGTGTGGGGGGGGGGGGGGGAGGGGAAAACAATGAGGTCGAGAAGAGGGGCGTGTCTACCTTTGGGGTCTCGGGCGTCGTCGGAGCTTTGTCGTTTTATCTCTCGAAAACAATTTTTTTTTTTCTTTTTAGAGGGTCGTACTCCATGACCCCGAGGAAATGATTTTGAGGGAATGCCAAGGTGACGTTGAGGCAGGTTGTTGGTGCGAGGGGGGCGGGGGAGGAAAAAAAATAGAAGAATAAGACGAATAGGGAGGTGGAGGAGAGAAAAGAATAGGAGAAGGAGAAGAATAGAAGAATGGGAGAGAAAGAGAATAGGAGGAAGAAATAGAAGAATAAGAGAAGAATAGGAGAAGAATGGAGACGGAGGAGTGTAAGAGAGAGAAGAGAGAGAGAGGGGGGGGGAAGGGAAGCAAAGTGAAAAGGAGGGGGAGGAGGGGGGAAATAGTGTCATTTAGGCCTAGGGAAAGTTCGTAATTGCTTCACCGCCAGGAGTCCTTGCCACGACCAAGCACTTGCTGTGGAAATCACCCGATGAAAAGGGTGAAACACGGCGTTAGGCTACTACGGAAGCGTCTGTGTGTGTGTTTGTGTTGCGTGTTTGGTGCGTGTTTGTGTGTTTGCGTGTGCGTGTTTGTGTGCGTGTTTGTAGTGCGTGTTGTGTTGTGTGTGTGTGTAGTGTGTGTGTGTGTGTGTGTGTGTGCGTGTGTGTGTGCGTTGTGTGTGCGTGTGCGTGTGCGTGTGTGTGCGTGCTGTGCGTGTGTGCGTGTGCGTGTGCGTGTGCGTGTGCGTGTGCGTGTGCGTTGTGGCTCTGTGTCTCTGCTCTTCTGTCTCTGTCTCTGTCTCTGTCTCTGTCTCTGTGTCTCTGTCTCTGTCTGTCATTCTGTCTCGTCATTCTGTCTCCCTCCCTCCCAGCTCTTCCCTTTTATTTTTTCGTTCTGTTGCGATTTTCATCATTATGTCTTCGCTATATGATCTGGCTTTGTGTTTCTCTAAGCCTTTGTTTTCGTTTTACTTTCCTTTTTATCTCTCTTTCTATTTTCTTCTCATTTTCTTTGTATTTTTTCTCATGCCGTTTCTCTTTCTGTTTTTTTCTTTATTTTTACTTTTCGGTTTTGTTTGTTCTTTCTTTCATTTTTTCTTTCTCTTTGTTTTCTCCTTTCTTTGAATATTTTCGCAACTTCTCTTTTCTCTTCTTTTATTCTATTTTTTGTCTTTCTATCTTTTCTCTCCCTTTTTCTCATTTCTCCTTTATTTCTCTGTCTCTGTGTCTCTGTGTCTCTGTGTCTCTGTGTCTCTGTGTCTCTGTGTCTCTGTGTCTCTGTGTCTCTGTGTCTCTGTCTCTGTCTCTGTCTCTGTCTCTGTCTCTGTCTCTGTCTCTGTCTCTGTCTCTGTCTCTCTCTCTCTCTTCTTCTGTCTCTCGTCTCTCTCTCTCTCTCTCTCTCTCTCTCTCTCTCTCTCTCTCTCGTCTCTCTCTCTCTCTCTCTCTCTCTCTCTTCCTCTTCTCTCTCTTCCTGTGTCTCCTCTCTCTCTCTAATTATTGTGTGTAGTGTAATTATTGATTGTGAGCAGTGATTGGTTTTGGAAAGTGATCCGGTATGTGGATTGATTCGAGGAGCAGATGGTGGCCGTTCTTGAGAGCCACGTCCGTCTCCACATAACGAAAATTTACTGGGAAAAAAAGAGCTAGGAGAACATAAATCCGACATGCTTCCCTGTCTTCCCTTTCCCTTTCCTTCTCCTTCTCCTTCTCCTTCTCCTTCTCCTTCTCCTTCTCCTTTTCTCTCTCCCTTCTCCTTCTCCTTCCTTCTCCTTCTCCTTCTCCTTTCTCCTTCTCCTTCTCCTCTCCTTCTCCTTCTCCTTCTCCTTCTCCTTCTCCTTCTCCTTCTCCTTCTCCTTCTCCTTCTTCTCCTTCTCCTTCTCCTTCTCCTTCTCTGCTTCTGCTCCTTCTACTCTTCCCTTCTCCTTCTCCCTCTCCCTCTTCCCTCTCTGACGAAGAGAGATTCCTTCGATCACGCCGATTCACGGCGCGATGGAAGGACCACGTGACGACGGCGTGGAAGTGTGGTGACCTCGTTGGAGAGACTCGCTGCGTGCGTGTTAGAATGACGAGGGGAGGGGTTTGCAGACCATGCTGATTGGTGTCTATATGCTGAATGGTGTCTAAATGCTGAATGGTGTCTACATGTTGTGAAGGGTGTCTACATGCTGAATGGTGTCTATATGCTGATTGGTGTCTACATGCTGATTGGTGTCTATATGCTGTGAATGGTATCCACACGCTGAATGGTAATCTGCATGAGGAGTAAAAAAGGGGTAATCTTTAGGGGGCGTTGAGTGGTATGATGCCTTGGCTGGTGTTGGTGTGGTAGGTGAGGGTTGTTTATTTATTTATTTTTTTTCTCGAGTTAGGTGATTATTGGGGAATCCAGATTGTTATACGTCCTTGGGTGGGGGACGGAGGGGAGGGGAGAGGAAATAAAGGTGTCGTTGTTTTTTTTTTTTGTAGTCTCACGGTGGTTGGAAATTCGTGATTGTTTGCTGTTGGGGAGGAAGAACCGAGGTGTGGCTACAGAGGGATCTAAAAATTCATGATCTTTTGCTATTTTTGAATAGGAAGAGGTGTGGCTACAGATCTAAAAAAATCATGATCTTTTTGCTGGTTTTTTTAATCTAGGAAGAGTGCGAGGCGTGGCTGTGAAAGTATCAAGGTGGGAGTGAAGACCTGGCTTGTCATTGCGACGGGGAATTTTGGTCATTTTAGGTGTCGTTTTAGCGGCTTCGATACGACCGTGAGAATCCTCTCTTAGAC